GGTCACCGAATCGGTCACTAATTCGGTCATCGATTCGGTCACCGAATCGGTCACATCGATCTCGGTCCATCGATTCGGTCACTAATTCGATCACTAGATCGGTCATCGATTCGGTCATCGAATCGGTCACTAAATCAATAATTAAATTAATTATTAATTTAGTCTCTTTATATATATATATATATATATATATATATATATATATATATATATATATATATATATATATATATATTACTTGTATGTTAATAAAAATGTATTTCAATGTATTTATAAAAAATTAAAATTATTTTAATTACTTGAATTGATATTTTAAATTTATATTAATATCTTGAATAATTTAATAGTTGGATATATATATATATATATATATATATATATATATATATCACTTTAATTTTTTAATTAAAATTAATTTCATAAAAAAATTAATATTTGAAAATTAAAATGCAAAATAAAAATATATATATATATATATATATAAATTTATTTATTTTTTAAAGATGATATATTCAATGTATGTTAAAAAAGTTCAAGCCAAACTTGTTTTTATAGAAGATTTTCAAAGCTACTGGTTTAATTAATCTGTTAAAAGATTCTTTTAATCTGTTAAAAGTGCAGTTTTAATCTGTTAAAACTTCTTTTAATCCATTAATACGTTCTTGATTCTTTAACGATTTGTTTTAACCGATACTGACAACGTTTATATCAATTAAAACACTTTACAAAAAATCTTCTAAGTTGATTTAATCGATTGTTCGCGATTCAATCGATTGAAATACTTGCAAAACTTTCTCCTAAAACTTTTCAAGTTATTTTAAGCTGATAAAAATAAGTTTTAATCGATTAAAACGCTGTGCAGAAGCTGTTTTAATCGATTGAAACGAGATTTAATCGATTAAAATAGTTATGATCGGTCATAATTGCATTACGACCGATCATAATGGAAACCATATAATAGCGGTTCAACGGTTAACCGCTATCTAAGTGAGCTTTTAAGAGCGGTTCCTGTGTAACCGCTATCTAAACTGTATTTCGCTTGAGCGACAACTTTCTCGCTCGAGCGAAACGCCCCCTGCACAAAATTGGTACTCTCGGGTTGTATTTCGCTTGAGCGAGTCTAGTCTCGCTCGAGCGATAATTGATTCTGATCGATTATATTTTCGAAATGATCGATCACATTGATAATTTTTTCAAATAATTAATTATAATCGATTAGTTTTCTAAATTATTGATTAGAATTGATTAGTTTTTCAAATAATAGATTAGAATTGATTAATTTAAAATATATACTAAAAAATTATAATTAAAACTATAAATTAGTTAAGAATATTGACTATTGTAAAGATAAAGTAGAACATGGGAGGAGATGAGGATGATAATATAATGATAGAACTTACAAAAATGTAGAATTGAGAAGTTTGAAACAAATAAAATTAAGAAAATAGATATTTAATTACACTTTTAATTAATTTAAGATAATACTAGTTTTGATTTTTTTAATATTTTTTTTATTATTTAAAACAGAGAAACTATAATTTTAGTTTCTAACTACTTGAATTTAAAGAATTAAATTTATTATTATTTAATCTTTTAATTTTAGTATTAAAATTTTAAATTATATTTTATTAAATTAAAATAATTACAATATATTTTTCTACTTTGAGAATGAACAATATAATTAAACTCAAAATTGACAATATTATAATACATTTTTGAACTGTTTTGGATTAATTTTTTTTCCTAATTTTTGATAAAGTTAATTTTAATATTTAAAAGTATTTAACATTTTGAATTACGAAAGGTTTTCTCTAATAGAAAATTTAAAAACATAATATAAAAAAAATAGTTAATATAAGTTTTCAAGTTATTTTAAGCTGATAAAAATAAGTTTTAATCGATTAAAACGGCATGCGAGAAATTGTTTTAATCGATTGAAACTATATTTTAATCGATTAAAATAGTTATGATCGGTCATAATTGTATTACGACCGATCATAATGGAAACCATATAATAGCGGTTCAACGGTTAACCGCTATCTAAGTGAGCTTTTAAGAGCGGTTCTGTGTAACCGCTATCTAAAGTGTATCTCGCTTGAGCGACAAGTTTCTCGCTCGAGCGAAACGCTCCCTGCACAAAATTGGTACTCTCGGGTTGTATTTACGCTTGAGCGAGTCTAGTCTCGCTCGAGCGATAATTGATTCTGATCGATTATATTTTCGAAATGATCGATCATATTTGATAATTTTTTCAAATAATTAATTATAATCGATTAGTTTTCTAAATTATTGATTAGAATTGATTAGTTTTTCAAATAATAGATTAGAATTGATTAATTTCAAAATATATACTAAAAAATTATAATTAAAACTATAAATTAGTTAAGAATATTGACTATTGTAAAGATAAAGTAGAACATGGGAGGAGATGAGGATGATATAATATAATGATAGAACTTACAAAAATGTAGAATTGAGAAGTTTAAAAAAAATTTAAGAAAATAGAGATTTAATTATACTTTTAATAAATTTAAGATAATACTAGTTTTTAAACCTTTTTCTAATATTTGTTTTTAAAAATATAATATCATTTTTAATATTTTATAGATTTTATATTTATATATTTATAAAAGTAATTGGATTAAATTTATTATCCTCTCATATATTATTATACATTTAGCGTAATTTTAGTTTATTTAAAAATTAGAATACAAATATACTATACCAATATACCATTATATTATTTTCATTGTATATAAATTACAAAATTAATAATTTGTATACTATACTATACTAACATATTATTTGTATACTATACTAATAGTATAATATACTATATTATAATATTATTTGTATACAAAACTAATATCTTTATATATAAATATATAAATATGGAAAGATATAAATATATGTAAAAATATAAACATATAAATATATATAAATATGTAAAGATATAAACATATATCTTTAATATTTTGTAAATGTAAATATAATTTATATATATTTTTAAATCTTTTTCTAATATTTATTTTTAAAAATATAATAATATTTTTTTAAATTTAATATTTTTTTTCAAATATATAAATATATAAAGATATAAATGTATAAGGATATAAATAAATATATCAATATATCAATATATAAATATATCAAAATATAAAAATATAAATATATAAATATATAAATATATTAATATATAAATATATCAATATATAAATATATAAATATATATAAATATATATATATATATATATATATATATATATATATATATATATATACAAATATATCAATATTATCCCCTCATATATTAATATACATTATTAGCATAATTTTAATTTAATTAAAAATTAGAATACAAATATACGATACTATACTAATATACCATTATTTGTAGATTTTATATATTAAAATATATAAATATATTTTTATTTATAGATTTTATATTTATATATTTATACGGATATACATTTATTTGTATATAAATATAATTTATTTGTAAGTTATTATTAAAAGATCCTAGTAGCTCAGTGGTTGGAGTTTCAGACCTCCAACTCTAAGGTACTGGGTTCGAATCCCGACAATGACAATAAACCACCTAATAATAAGTTAAACTTCTAAAAAATATAATAAAGATAGGGGAAATAGATATAAATAAAAACTTAAATAAGCAAAATATAATATAATTAAGAGATAGGGAAAATAAATAATAGATATAATAAAAGTGTAAATAAATAAAAAGATTTGGATTTTTCATTGATTTAGTGATCGATTCAGATGACCGATTTGGTTATATATAATCGGTCATGAATCGGTCACTAAAATTAGTGACCAAGGAAATAGTGACCGATTCCAGTTGGTCACTATTTCGGTCACTATTTTAATTAGTAATCGATTTTGCAGATTTAGTGACCGAATTTTCGGTCACTATTTGATGTTTTTCTTGTAGTGAATATGGATCTTAGCCCAAATCTTTAACCCTAGTTTAAGGAACATTGAAAAAGAATACTAAAAAGATACTTAAACAACACATACCAACAATAACATTGAAATTTAGAAATATATATAGGATATATATAGGGCAAACCTAAGGTAAATATTTTAAAAATTTGTGAGGGAAATTAAGAGTATGACTCATTTTATGAAACAAATGAAAGAGTTCTTTTTTTTTTTTTTATCTTGTGAAAGTTTTTCTCTTATCTTGTAACGTAATAATATATAGTGATACGCTTGATATAAGTAAGACACTACTAAAAATTCTCATTTTTCATGGGAATATTTTTGCAAAATTTTGATAAAAATTGCAAGAAATAAGTTTTCTATAAATTTAAACAATTTTTTGCAAGAAAATTGTCAAGAAAAAACTAGTTTTCTAGTAGTGAGATATCATATTTTGACTTGAGGGTTATGTTATGTATGTTAAGATTAGTATAAGGCTGTTTGGTTATAAGGTATAAGAGTTTCTGAGAGTCTCTTGGCGAGAAAAATAAAACTTCTTTCTAGTAAAAAATGGTTTCAAGAGCTTATTTAAATTTATCCAAAAGGTTGTATGTGCAGTACAAATTGATGTGCTGTAAAATTATTAAAATAATATTATTCTTTTCAATTTGGAGGAAGAACATAGGAATCTCTTGTAAATCAAGCCACGGTAACATCGCTATATATAAATTGAAGTTGTGAAGCGCTTTAGTCATGCTGGCCCTTCACAATTTACAAAGCCACGTTGTTTGATTTAATTAGAGAGTATCTGCAACCGTTGATATAAACTAAAAGTTACTACACGTATGTAATAGTGCATGTGTGTGGACTTGAGTTGATATATAGCAGTAACACCTTAATATATTTCACTTGCAGATTCTATTCCAACAAGTTAATAATGCAAACCGACCAAAATCGCAATTCTCATTTCAGATGTCACTAACCATACCAATAAGATTTCATGCACCCATTTCGTTTTTTCTACGTACGTACATGAAAAGTTGAAGACTCTATCTTCGATCATGAAGCAGGAAATGGGGAAGAATAAGAGAGGGGAAAGTGAAGAAAATGAAGAAGAGAAATGGGTACATGATGCATCTGTGGATTATAAGGGCAAAATTCCTCTTCGTGCTTCAACAGGAGTATGGAAGGCTTCTCTTTTTGTCCTTGGTGAGATGCGTATTTGCTTGAGTACTATATGTATCAACAATATCTCTTACTCAAACCAATCCCTTCTTATGTAAGTTCCTAGGTCGTGGTTTAAATACTTAGGGTAATGAACATATTACCAATTAATTTTATTTGCAACCTTAACATGTTTATCAAGTCAATCCCAACTTCTTTTTGGTGGTTGTATCAAGAGTTATCCTTCCTACTTATCCTCCCAAAACATAACAAGGCTGAGGTCAGAGCATGACCACAAACAATTCAAGAGTAAATTTATCAACCTGTTTTCAGCAATCATTACAATTTTGTCATAAAATATGTTTAGTTAATATGAGCATAATTGTATCTCAATTTGGAGCAGCTATTGAATTCAGTGAAAGGATATGCCAATCTGGGATATCTAGTAATCTCATCACGTACTTGACAAAAGTCATGCATGAAGACCTCAAAACAGCAACCAAGAATGTAAACAACTGGAAAGGAGCAACAACCTTGATAACCATAATTGGGGGAGTTGTTGCTGATGCCTACACTGGTCGATTTCATATGGTTCTCTTTTCTTCCATAGTATATATCAAGGTATATTCATTTTTTTTTCATGTCAACGTACTGCATATATGTTTTTTGTTGTAGTAACGATTTTCTGCTTCATATTCTGTCTTTGATCTATTTGACATATCTCAGGCCGCATAACACATTTCAATTTCTTTTTTATACATCAAATGGAGCTCTTATATACTATTTCCAAGAAAAAACAAGACTTATTAATTTCTAGTTCCCAAACCAGGGATTAAGCCTCTTGACCATGTCTCAATTCATTCCAAGTCTAAAACCATGCAACAATGAGATGTGTCAACAGCCAACAAAGGTCCATGAAGTGGTTTTCTACCTTGCTCTTTACTGTATTGCCTTGGGTTCTGGAGGATTCAAGCCATGCTTAGAAAGCTTTGGAGCTGATCAATTTGATGACGACCACCTTGAAGAACGAAAGAAAAAGATGTCTTTCTTCAACTGGTGGACTTTTACACTGTTTTTTGCAATGCTGCTTGGGGCAACAGTGATTGTTTATGTTCAGGACTTTGTTAGCTGGGGAGTTGCTTGTCTCATCCTCACTATTTTTATGGCTCTCAATATCGTTGCTTTCTATCTGGGGAAGCCATTTTACAGGTACAGGAGGCCAGAAGGAAACCCTTTCATGTCAATTCTACAAGTCCTAATTGCAGCCATAAGGAAAAGAAATTTGCCCTGCCCTTCAAATCCTGCTTTACTGTACGAAGTTCCAATGTCAGAGAATTCCCAAGGAAGGTTTATGAGGCACACTAGCAGGCTCAGGTATCAAATGTGCACCTTAAAAACATTATTAATTTAGTTATATATATAGCTATATAATTGTTAAGGTCTATCAACAATGTAGAATAAATTATTAATATGGTAGTAAAATAGTTTGGGTTTGAGGATAGATGATAGAGCTAAACCTACCTATTAAAATTCAATAAATAGTGAATACTGAACCATTCAATCAATGCATAGGTTTCTTGACAAGGCTGCAATAGTGGAAGAGAAGTATACTGAGCAAAAAGACAATCCATGGAGATTAGCAACAGTGACAAGAGTGGAGGAGACAAAGCTTATTCTGAACGTTGTTCCCATATGGCTAACTTCATTGATAGTTGGTGTATGTATAGCGCAAGGCTTGACACTCTTTGTTAATCAAGCAGCTGCAATGAACTTAAACATAAGTAATAACTTCAGAATCCCACCAGCTTCCATGGCGTCTGTTCCAGCTTTAGGCACCATAATAACTGTCCCAATATATGATAAGACTGTTGTTCCAATACTGAGAAAAATCTCAGGTAATGAAAGAGGTATCAGCATCCTTAAAAGGATTGGCATTGGCTTGACATTCTCAGTCATTCTCATGGTTGTTGCTGCCTTAGTAGAAACACAGAGATTAAGAATGGCTGCATTGACAGTAGGGAAAACTAGGCATGAGACGATGAGCGTGCTATGGTTGATACCCCAGTACTTGATTCTTGGCATTGGAGAATCATTTTCTCTAGTTGGTTTGCAAGAGTTTTTCTATGACCAAGTTCCTGACTCAATGAGAAGCTTAGGAATGGCTCTGTATCTAAGTATGCTTGGATTAGGATTCTTCTTAAGCAGCTTTCTAATCATCATTGTGGACAAGGTCACAGGGAAGAATGGCAAAAGTTGGATTGCGAGTGATGTAAATTCAAGCCATTTAGACAAGTTTTATTGGATGTTGTCTGTCATAAATGCTTTAAATTTGTGCCTATTTCTATTAATGGCAAAGAGGTACACTTATAAGACATTATTGCGGAAAGCTAATGAAATTGATGGTTGTGACAGTGATGGGGTGGAGAAAATGGAATAATGAAAGCGATTTCGGTCGCTATATTTTCTGGTTAATCAAACATTTAATATGTTGTTTCTCTTTTACATTTACTGGGTAGACGATTTTTATTTTTCATATTAGTTAGAAAATACGTTATGCTAAAATTGTTTTTCATTTTATGGAGTCAATATGTATTATGTTTATATCTTATGTATCAGTGAGATAATGCATCCTATGAAATTGTTATTTACTACCCTTTTCTTATGTGGACCACACCGAAAGCATTAGTAATTGTTATTACGAACATAGGTGTAGTACTCCTGAGCCATGGCCCCAAAACTTTATGAAGAGGAATACGAAGAGCTTGGATTGTACTTGTTAGGTAAATGTTGACCCGTATATTGAATGAGCCAATGTTGCCCAAGTATACCCGAAACTGACATGTATAAGTTTTGCTGTGTTTTTAAAATGTTGGGAGCATTTATTTTTACACTTATCATATGTGATTCGTAATTGGTATCACTTCAACGTCGGGTATGAAAGGCCTTCAACGGCGGTTCTACAACCGACGTTGTATAAGGCGACGTTGAAAGTCTACACTTTCAACGTTGGGTATGTCTAATTGACGTTGAAAGTGTGGACTTTCAACGTCGGGTATGCCTAACCGACGTTGAAAATATCAACTTTCAACGTCGGGTATTTAAAACTGACGTTGAAAATATAGACTTTCAACGTCGGTTATATAGAACCGACATAGAAATGCTGAATATAAGGAAAACTACATTTGGGTTTTAACTACGTCAGTTATGATAAATATCGACGTTGATTGTATAATTCTCTACGTCGGTTATTGACACAACCGACGTAGAAAGTCTTTTTTTTTTTAAATGATCGCTTTGTTTATACAGGGCATCCCAATATTTGTATACAATATACCTGCAAATTTGAATACAACCCAGGCAGACAGTATACAAGATACAAACTAATTGAATGTGCATCCAAAAATATAATTGTATCCAAAATTACAAAGTACAATACTTAGAATATGTATCCAACTACACTTATCTAACAAATACACTAACTACTAATCTAACTAGTAAACTAACTACTAAACTAACTACTAATGTAACTACTAAACTAACTACTAAATTAATAACTAAACTTGCCTACTTCTAACTTTAAGAAACTTATCGGTCCAGGTGTTTCTAATATCTTCAATGGTCTCTATGGGCAACGCTTCTCTGTCTGAAAATACCTGTTACAAGAAAAAAGATAATTTAACAAAGTATCCAATGACACAATATTTAATTTAATTGAATACTAAATTTAAGCAAACCTGATTCCATATATCCTCAGTCTTGCTAACAACAATCAGCCAAATCCAGTGCATAACATAATATTCGCACTCATAAGATCCTGGTTGCCTATTACACTACAAAAAATAATATATTAATTTGACATATAAAATGAATCATATAATACATAAATATAAAATGACTTACATTAACAAAAATCCAATTTGGAGTCGTGCTTTTGCTTGTCTATACTACATCAATTGTATTGCAAACCTTAAATGCACTGTGCAATACAAAATATAATGAAACAATTAAGTAACAAAACGAGTAATAATTGTTTAAATTATTATAAGAATGTGTACCTGTTTACAATGTATTTAATATCTGCATCAGGTCTCTTGCCCAATGAGCAGAACCAAGCCACAACATTCTCCTTTGGGCAAACAACCAACAACTGTCAATGATTTCTGCTTACATTACAAAAAGTTAGGATACATAGAATACACTATAAAATTTAATGCAAATAATTTCATACGCTTAAATACTTATTGATATAAGTAAGCACCCAAGTAAACTTTCTTCCTTGACTTCATCATCCAATTTTGGATGTATATTTGAACTTCTTCTCTCTTGTTTCCTGATTTTTGTATGGATTGGAGCTCAAAAAATCCATACACATCTTGGGTGCGTTGTTGCTCCGAAAATTCATTCATCATCCTAAAGTAGTCAGTTCAAAGTACATTAAATATGATGATAACTTCAAATAACATAATTAGTAAATAAAAATATATACTTACATTGTCTAAAATTGTAACACTGCTATGTTTAGACACTGACTGCCAACTGCTATCTCCACAGCATCGGTGTGGGCAATGTAAAGGGGAAAGTTCTTATTGTCTACCCCTAATTTATCTGCATCCCACTTCACTTGAAAAGATTGAATATACAACTATGGGACAACATATAGTAGTTGAAAAATTAGATTTTCTGGGACATCTACTTCCTTACCTTTACTAGTTTGGGAAGTAGGTACCAATTTAGGCAACTGGGGTGGCTTTTGAACATCCGACATAAAATAACATTGACTTGAGAAATAATAAAAAAACAACACGAGACTACATATGATAATTAACAAAAAATATATGCAAACCTTTTTCAAAATAGGCCTTATTAGATGTCTAGGCCATGCAATGAAGGTCTGGAGGGCATGTCCCACTATCATCACCTCGTCTGTGGGCACAGGTACAAGAGCAGAAGCATCTCGAACCTCTTCAATGACCACTTTGGCCAAGTTAGGTGCTAAAGGCACACTATGAATTGTAGAGGCCCCCTCTTCAATTGAACCAATTGTCACCAATCGTGGTTCAGATCCATCCTCATCAACATAAAATTCACACTAACCTGATTACATAAAAATAAGACATTAATTATTTAATATGCACATTAATTTTTGTCATGAAGATATAATCCACACATACCTGAGTGGTCAGTGTTGTCTGCAACAACAACTTCAGCTGCAGTAGCATCAACAAAAACCTCTTGATTAGTAGCAGGAAACTCTTCATCAGCAGCATTTGGGTCAGCACAACTACCCTTAGTGCTAACCCGTGCGACAAATGGAGGAGGAACATCCATAGGTGGGTGGGTAGGCTGTGTGACACCCATGGATGCTAGACTTGAACCAAATACACGCATCATCTCCTCTTGAACTCGTGTGGTGTAGGCCCCAAATCTTGTCTGGCCTCCAAATAAAGAGTAAAAGACTTCCTATTCGAAGATGGACGAAGCCTAACAAGCCACTAGGAGAGACTATTAGGCCCCATACTAGGATAGGAAGGATTTTCGGCACAAAAATAAGGTTTCTCGCCTTTTTGGGACGAGACCGCTGTCTAAAAATCGAGACCGCCGTCTCGCCTCATGCAAATGGCGAGACCGCCGTCTCGCCAAACGAGACGGCGGTCTCGCTTTCCCAGACGGCGGTCTCATTTGGCGAGATGGCGGTCTCGCCACTGTCAGGCGCGAAAACCTATAAATAGGGGCTCTCCCCCCCCCTCATTTCCACACACCACACAGCTCTAGCTCTCCCTTCTCTCTAAAATTTCTCTCTAGAATCCCTCCAACACATTTCCGGAGTTTCTGAGTGCCTTTGTGAGCGTTTTTTGGCGTCTAGAAAAGTTTCCAGCGCTGTGTAGAGTGAAGGGCTGCCACAAAGCACCCTCTTTTTTTTAGAGAAATAAAAAGAAAGCTTGCTTCGGAGGTTTAAACTCTCCCTCTTCACTTTTACTGCTTTAATTTTAAATTATGCAATAGATTAGGGCCATGCAGTCATAATTTTAAATTCCGCAAAATAAAAAGGGCAAAAGCGTGTTTTTCCGGTTTATTTATTAACAAAATAGCTGGTCTGTCATAGGGAACCCGAAAGGGGCGTCGTAAAGGAACTAACACTTCCTTTACACGTAACTAACTCCCTTACCCAACTCTGGTTCTAATGACCAAAGTTGGTTTTTTGAAAACCAACGCCTTTTAAACCCCTTTTTCCGATGTTTCCGGTAAAAACATCGGTGGCGACTCCACAGAACCCTTCAAAAATTAGTCCTTGGGTTAGCCCTGTTATCGGACAACCCAAGGACGACCTTTCGAAAACCTCGCCCCTAGGTTAGCCCGGTTATCGGACAACCTAAAGGCGTTGTAACCACCCATAAAAAATGCGAAAATCAAAAGGGTCGAAACCATCGCGTCGCTCTGACCGCCTCTCTGTTTTTGACGGCGGCGACAGATGGCGACTCCACTGGGGAAGCCTCGAGAGTTGATCCCATTTAGTGATGGGCCGGCTTAAAAATAAATAAACCAAGAAAATAATGTTTTTGCCCTTAACTTGTATTATAACATGTTTTACGGTTTGGCTTTAATAACTGTTGCTTGTTTATACTTACGCAATTGTGTGAAATACAAACTGTACACAAACCCTTGCACACTACAGTTCCCTCTATACCCGGGGGCAAGTGAGAAACCCAAAGGGAGTGGGTGGTAGGTACGGTTCGCTGTAGTGAGGGCCTTGAGCCCACCAGTGTGATCGAAAACCACCACTCAAGGTGATAACCTTCCTCTTTTGGCAACAAGACTGACTATGGCCTTAGTGCTAAGCATGGTCGAACGGCTGGAGAATGGGGACCCTATAATGGGGGCACCTTGGGGGCCTTAGCCTGGTGAGAACAGTTAGAATCAACCCTCGCCAATGCACTTTTCTGCAGGAAAACCCTACCTCATGATAAAAACGAATTCTCGCCTGTTCGTGGATGATCGAATTGTGTGCGCATATGTTTGTTGCATTTGTCTGTTGCATAGCATAAACAAACAACAAAACAAAAATCACAAAAAATATTTTTGCAATAAACACCCTTATCTCGGACAGTCTGCCTTTTAGCTAGCCTGATTTCAGGTTCTTTGTAAGCTAAGTAGTCATGCAGTTCCGACAGAAGAGATAAGGGACGCTAAATATTCTTTTGCATAAAGCCATTTTTTTATCTCGGACAGTCTGCCTTTTAGCTAGCCTGATTTTAGGTTCTTTGTAAGCTAAGTAGTCACGCAGTCCGACAGAAGAGATAAAAGGCCTAAAAAATAAATCCAAAATAAATAAAATAATAATAAACAAAATCAAAACATTTATAAAAAGAATTTTGACAAAGTCGTATCATTCATATTGCATCATAAGTGGAAAAACCAAGAGAAAAAATAAGTGCGTAA